ATGTAGTTCAGGTGCCAAACTGGTTATGAAAAAACTTGGTTTTCAGAGCTTTGTGGATTCTAGAACTGTGAATTAGGGTCTGTGGACCCGTACTGGTTTCCCACTTTTACTGCAACCCCCAGTCTAGGCCTCTAGTCTAAGAGCCTGGCTGTCCAAGGTATTAGACATTCTAGAGATGGCAGGGAGTGATACGATTTCATCAGTGGCTTGATTTCCTAACCAGGGCTACCCTACTGCACCCGGTGATCCCAGCTGTTTTAATTAAAAGATACACAATAAGCAAGTTGTTTTACTATATAACTTGTGTGTATCTTCAACAGAATAATTTCTTCAAGTTAACTAAATAATTAAACTGAATTTTACTTCAGGTGGAGTTAACAGACTAAGCCAAACATAAAAGATATATCAGAGTCTCTCCCATAAAATAAAGGAGTAATCAATACTTACTCTGGGTAACATATGCACCAAAAAGAATCCACATGGAGGCAATAAGTGACCCAAACATCAACATGAAACCAATGAACAGCCAAACTCGAGCACCTGGGGGGAAAACGGGCTTCATGATTTTGCTTGTTTTTGCAGTGCTATAATGTCTTAGGCATATTGAACACTAAAAACACTGTGAACCTAGTATACATTATGCATATCAGACAGTCACATGCTTATATACACCTGCTAGAACAGCTGACTGGATGATGACTTTAAAAACTGGAAGTTGTTAGACCATAGCTGGAAAGGGAAAAAGGGGAAACGTCCCCTCTGCGCCGGCGTCCCCTCTGTGCCGGCGTCCCCTCTGCACCGGCCCACTGCTGGAGAAACTAAGGCCTGAGCAACGGGAGCCAGGCAAGCTTTGCTAGTAATTATCTCACTATACTGATTAATTAAGCCCTATTTTCTCAGCACAGATTTAAAAATACATATTTGCATGAATGAAATTTAAACAAGAAACATTTTTTTCATGTACTTGTGTTTTCAATTACCCACCCAACCAAAAGAAATAAAATTACTGTCTCCAACTAGTTAAGGCTTCTCTGTTCAAAATCTAGAGCCCTAATACCTATTATACCTGTACCCACTGCCGTCAAGTTGATTCCAACTCACAGCGACCCTACAGGGCAGGGGAGAACTGACCCACAGGGTTTCCAAGGCTGTAAACCTTTACAAAAGCAGACTGCCACCTCTTTCTCCTGCAGGG